AGGATTCTCCTGGGTCGTCTTAAACCTCATCTTGACAGTCAGTGTGGTTTTAGAAAAGATCGTTGATATGATTTCGCTGCTAGACAGCTACAAGAGAAAAGCCAAGAACATAATTTGAACATGTTTTCCACCTTTATTGATCTTACGAGAGCGTTTGACACAGTAAATCGAGAGGGGCTGTGGAGGATTATGGAAAAATTTAAGATCGTTGATATGATTTCGCTGCTAGACAGCTACAAAAGCCAAGAACATAATTTGAACATGTTTTCCACCTTTATTGATCATACGAAAGCGTTCGACAGAGTAAATCGACAGGGGCTGTGGAGGATTATGGAGAAATTTGGTTGCCCACACAAGTTCATTCAGATAGTGCGTCAGTTTCATGATGACATGCAAGCAAGAGTGCAGGATAATGGCGAACTGTCCGAGTCCTTTCCAGTCACAGAGTCAAATAAAGCTGTCTGCTTGCATCGTCACTGTTCAGTCTGTTACTTTCAGCCATGCTGACTGATGCCTTTGTAAATGATCACACTGGAATCGATATAAATCACCGCATGGATGGAAATCAGTTCAACCTCAGGAGGCTGATAGCAAAAAGAAAAACTCAATCAGACACAGGGAGCTCCTGTTTGCCGACGATTGTGCCCTTAATGCCAACACATAAGCGTATTTGCAGCACAACATCAACAAATTCAGTGATGCCTGTACCAACTTTGGGCTCACCACTAACAAAGATAAAACTGTAGCCACGCACCAGGGCAAAGATACATCGAGCCCAATATCACTGTGAATGGCCACAGATTAAATGTTGTCAGGAAACTTACGTATCTAGGCAGCACCCTTTCACAGAGCGCCAATGATGACGAAGTAAATGCGAGGATCTCTAGAGCTAGCGTTGCCTTTGGCAGATTGTACAAAAATGTTTGGAACAGAAGTGGCATAATCCTGCAGACAAAGCTTAAAGTATACAGAGCAGTTGTATTAACTTCACTGGACTGTATACCAGCAAGTTAAACCACTTTCACACAGTCTGTCTTAGGAAACTAATGCAGATCAGATGGCAAGACAAAGTACCTGATACCATAGTCCTTGAGAAAGCATCCATGCCCAGCATCCACACTCTACTGATGCAGTATCAAATTCGCTGGGCTGGTCATGTGGCACTCATGCCAGATCACAGGTTCTTAAAAGAAAAAAACTCTTCTATGGTGAGCTGCAAAATGGGAAACGTTCCCAAGGCGGCCAAAATAAATGCTTTTCGGACCCTTTGAAGTCTTCACTTAAAGCATTTGGGATAAATGAAACCAATTGGTAGGCTGCCTCTCAAGACCAAAATGCATGGCGTGCAACATGTGAAGTAAACAGCAAGACATTAGGAAAAGTTTGGACAGAGAGGCGACTGATGCAGTATTATGTAACAACCCTGAGTCTTGTGGCATGCCCGACAGGATACCATGTCAGTATTATGTAACAATGCTGAGTCTTGTGGCATGCCCAGTAGGATTCAATGTCAGTATTAGCAATATCGTGATGAGTACTACAGCTATACAAGAGCAGCTTATTGTGACCCACAACCCCCCCCCCCCCCCCTCTGCTGCTTGTCCCTGCAGCTGCTGGAGAAATATTTATTCCTGCAGAGATGGCCAGTTTTGTGATTACAGCTGCCTAAACACCAACGTGTTCGTTGCAATCCCTACAACGGATTGCAACGAACCCCCATGCATGGAGAGTCATGACCTCTGCCCCATGTGCGCACTCGACACAAGAGGAAAGACTAACTAAACACCAACGTGTGTTTCCCAGCCCAGATCTGCAGTCACACGAACATTTGCTGGCAAGTCAACAACAAATCACAGCTGCTGTAACAAAACTAGAAACCTGTTTTAATTCTAGAAACTATTTCAGTGAGAAAGTCTGTCAGAAACACTCACAGTACTCACACAATTACCCACCTATCTTCACTCACTGACACAATTTATTTTTAAAATTAACACACTTAACTAAAGTAATAATAACAACAAAAGAAAACACTAATTCTGAGGAGACAAACCTTTACAAACGCATCAGACAAGCAAACATGACAAAAACAATAACAACAATCTATGAGCTAACAATGTCAACAATCCAGGAGAGGGACAAAGTGGCAACAGGGGTCAACTGACTATAGTCTGCACAAGGTCTTGGAAACTCAGTCCATCAACAGTTGCAAAGTCATACACACAAGCAACCACTGACTACACATTACATTCACAGTTTCCTGATGAAACAAATACTGAAGACATGTCAGGTGCATATACACACGACACACCTACGTGCATCTCTCAGTACATCCCACCTCATGTATCCCCCAGCTCACCTAATGTGTCTCTACCAACTGTTCTGTAAGAGAACTACTGTGCAGCAATTTGGTGTCCATGTACAAATTATGTCTGGCAGTTTGGCGTCTGTGTCTACGTCATGTCTGGCAGTTTGGTGTATGTGTCTACGTCATGTCTGGCAGTTTGGCGTCTGTGTCTACATCATGTGTGACAGTTTGGTGTATGTGTCTACGTCATGTCTGGCAGTTTGGTGTCCATGTATACGTCATGTCTGTCAGTTTGGTGTATGTGTTTACGTCATGTGTGGCAGACATTAGGTGTCTGCTGACCATCAAGATGTCCATCACTTGACCACTATTGTCCCAAACATCAGCTAGAAACACAAGTTGGGACGGTAGACAGTGACAGAATAAAAATTGTACAGAAGTCAAGAATAGTGTCAACAACACAACAGACTAGCAGCAAGCACCAGATGACAGCATCAGTGACAGACGTCAAGCATCGGTGACAGAAATCAAATATTCACCAACAGATGATGACAGCATCAGTGACAGAAGTCAAATATTCACCAACAGATGATGACATCCCCATGACCGTAGAGATTGTCCCCCCACCCCCCAAAAAAAATTTGCTGTCAGAAGACAAACATTCATATGGCTGTACAGCAGTCCCAGACATAGACAAACATTCATATGGCTGTACAGCAGTCCCAGACATAGACAAACATTCATTTGGCTGTACAGCAGTCCCAGACATAGACAAACATTCATATGGCTGTACAGCAGTCCCAGACATAGACAAACATTCATATGGCTGTACAGCAGTCCCAGACATAGACAAACATTCATATGGCTGTACAGCAGTCCCAGACATAGACAAACATTCATATGGCTGTACAGCAGTCCCACACATAGACAAACATTCATATGGCTGTACAGCAGTCCCACACATAAAGGGATGCACAGAGTGCAGATGCAACAAATGATCCTACACACCAGCTCTAACATCTGCGGCGGTCAATATGTAGCAAATTTTCCTCAAATAATTATTCTGCACCTTTCTTGTCTTTAAATAACATATTATAATTTTGTTAAAAGCCTATCTATCATGCAAACAGCATGCTTGCTTACTTCCGCACGCAGCAATCATCGTGTATGAACACACCTGCAACAGTTGACATCCACCCATCTCTGATACCAGTTTCTCTTTCCTAGACATTAACATTCTAAAACCAAAAACTATGGTAATTTATGGAAAAGAACAACCAAGAGTGATCAACACAGTCAATGAAGAGATATTAGAACAAGTAACCAGTTTTTGCTAGCTAGGTGATGGAAGAAGCTAAACAGAAATCAGAGAGAATAGGAATGGCTAAAGGGTCTGTAATAAGATGTTCTAGTTACTGACAGCTAGAGAGATAAACAACACATTAAAGATACAAATCTTCAAATGCCATGTATACTCCGTTCTGCTGCGTGGTGCAGAAACTTGGACAATGAACAAGCAACTAGACAATCCAAATGAGTCTCTGGCTATACAGAAGAATATATCGCATTTCATGGACACAAAAAGTCCAATACAGAGATTCTGGGAAGACTTCAAATGAAACGATAACTACTGAAAGATTTTTGTTTTAAAGTGAAATAATTTGGTCACATTAAAAGACATATAGCTTCTTCTTTTCTGTACTCCTTAAATGCTTCGCCGCACGCATCAGGACAGGAAGAGATCTCTGGAACCGGCCTTTCCATCAACTTCGTATAAAATACTTTTCAGTATCTGTGATATTTCAGCAGTCCATGTTCTGCGTGGTCGTCCTCTGGGTCTGTATAATGTTGCTCAGTAGTGTCCTGTCAGATGCCAATCTTGGTGCATGGCCAAACCATTTGAATTGTCGCCAAAAAAAAATTCAGCTTGACACAATTCACTTTTAAAAACCATAAGAAGGATAAGCCGATGGCAAGGCAGCAAGAGTAAGACCAGGATACAAGTGGGAGGAAAACATCAAGATATGGATGGACAGGAGTTTGACAGCGTGTTAGAGATATACTGCAGCTACTTTCACTGTGAAGACAGTACCTGACTGATCGATTATGTGAGGTTATTGATAGGCCAGCAGGAAGCAGCACTTGCAATGATGCATCATGACCACTAGAGGTCCTGACATGAGCAGTCAACAAAGATACAATACAGTGGCATGTCTCACTGAACTGCCAGAACAAGCACACAACATTCAAACAGGTGACATGTCATGGCTCAAGTAGCCCCCACCACACAAAGTAATGGCCCATACATGGACAAATATTCCACACACAGAGAAGTATGTCACACATAAATCTTCCACCTTTCTTGGATTGAGTGGATTGCTGCCTGGTACACAACGAAGCAATCACTGCAGGACATCCCACTGAATTCATCATCAGCTGTGGCTCTGGCAGGGACACACTGATGGGGACAGAGTAAGTCCACCACAGGGGCACTAGGTCAAGCCGTACTTGCCATTCTGACCAGCAAGACTAAGCACTGTGGGTTATATCTTTGCAGGCAGTGATGTCTGTTCTAGGTCAAGGAAGCCGAGTGAAGGACCAATCAAGTCTGCCATCTGGAACATGGCCAACAGCCTCAGTTACAGCCCGCCTATCAGAAAAACGGAGAGGAGTATGAGTCAACACGCGGCATGCTTCACTGGGGCTCTATCTGCTTGAGGTCTATGCTAAATATGACATTGTCTGGGAGGTCCAGGTGAAACTTGGAGATGTGGGCCTTCAGTCGGGAGGTCCTGGTGCAGGAGAACTCACAGAAGCCACAATTGTAAGCTTTTGGCATGGATACTCCTATTCTGCGACTGATGGGCCTCTCTTCTGTGTGCACCAGCATGTGCGCCTTAAGTCGCGACTGGCGAATGCAGGAGTAGGAGCACTGTGGACACTGCAGAGGCTTGGAGGCTGAGTGGGTCAGCATGTGCCTACGGAAATCTGCTGAACGGTTGCCAGCATAGTTGCACAAACTGCAAGCAAATTTTTTTATGTTCTGGTGAGACATCTGGTGAATCTTCAGGCTCTCCTCCTTCTTGTAGGTTGCGCTACACAGGTTGCAGCAAAATGGATGCTGGAATTTGTGCTGCAACAAGTGGTTGGTCAACTGTTTTTTCTGAATGCACTTGTAATCACAAAACTGACACTGTAGCGGCTTCTCCCCGTGAATAAATTTATGTTTCTTTAGCAGATAAGCCGACGAGCAGCCCTGGCCGCAGATATCACATGTGTAAGGTTTCACGCCGTAATGTTTAGACATATGGGACTTGAGGCCTTCAGCGGACCGACAAGTATAGTCACAATCCTTACAACGGTAGGGCTTCTCTCCTGTGTGTATCTTCATGTGGTCTTTTAGGCCCATCTTGCGCTTGCAAGAAAAGTCACACAGCTCACAAGTGAACATCTTCTCCGTAGTGTGGCACAACAGATGGTCCTTCATCCGGGATGTGTCATTGCACATGTAGTCACAGTGTGCACATTTGTATTTCTTCACGGATGAGTGCTTTTTGAGATGAGCAGTAAAGGTCGATTTGTAATCACAAGAAAACTCACATTGGTTGCAGTGGAACCTTTTAGACTTTGAATGATTTTTGGGTGGTTTGTTGAGCGGAGCAGCTTCTGCAGCCATCCAGGCATCTAGCTTGGAAGGGCTGGGCTTGATGTCTGGGAGTATGTCTTCCAACATCTGGTCTGACTCTTGCAGTGTCTCTATTTGTTGCACCTGTTCAAAGTGAGCCTGCGCTAGCTGTTGCGCCAGGTGTTCTGGGGCAGCTTCAGTGTGAATGATAAAGGTCTGTCCACCGTCCGAGGTGGTGATGGTGTACGTCTCACCCACCTGTTTGCCGGCGAAGGCAGCAAATGCCTGGAACTGCTCTTCGTCCATGTGCTCAGGGCCCCAGTCTGCCTCCAGGTCTAGGGACTGATTGGCCGGGATGCTGACATAGGTGGTCTGATCAGGCTGGTTGGTGATATAAGCTGTCTGGCTGCTAGGAGAGCCTACATCATCTGCCTGCTGCACCTGCTCTCCATCGGCGTCGGCCTGCTCCAACTCCATCTTCTGCTGGTAGGCTGGTGGGAATGTGGTGCCCGTATAGGTTTTCTGAATCGTGTGGGTCTTGGTATGTCTTCTCATACGGGAAGGCTGGGTACACACATAGTTGCACAGCTCACACTTGATGACTCCCTCGTGAGAATGAGAAGCCTTGTGGTCTTTCAGCCGAGGACCGCTCAGACAAGTAAACTCACACACATCACATTTCAGCAGCGGCTTGTCTTGTAAGTGAATTTTCTGGTGAGCTTTCAGCCGCCACTGACGAATACAGGTGTAGCTACACACAGAACATTTCAGTGGCTTGTCTGTGGAATGTGTCAGCATGTGTCTCTTGAAGTCTCCAAAACGATTGCCAGCATAGTTGCAATGGGTGCAACGGAACCTGGTGACATTTTCATGGCCTAGCATGTGCACCTTTAAACTTTCCTCTTTCTTGTAAGTGGCATTGCAGATCTTGCAGACGAACGGTGTGTCTGTCTCGTGCTGTATCACATGGGCTTTCATCTGGAAGTTTTGTGTGCACGAGTAGCCACACTGAGAGCACAGAATGGGCTTGCTCTCAGAGTGTGTGAACATGTGACGCTTTAAATGGCTGGCCGTATGGCAGGCATAGTGACACCTCTTGCAGGTGAACTTCTTCTCCGAGTGAATGATCATGTGTTGTCTCAGCAAGGTCCTGCTAGCTGCCCTATAACTGCACACATTGCACCCAAAAATTTTGGAGCCCTGGGGACCCGTCAGTTTTTGTTTTTTCAACTGCTCATAATCAATAACACTGGGGCACCTCTCTTCTTTCTTGATGTCAGGACTCCTACTTCTCTTGTCAGGGCTGACCATACTAGAGACTTCTGCTTGGTGGCTGTGACAAGCTTCAGTGACCAGGTCTGTCTGTGACATGTCCACTTTGATGTCAACCAGTGACAGATTGGTTTTCTTGTCTCTAGCTGTATCCAGGTGTTTGGTCTGTGCTGTGATGCTGACACTTCTCTCTGGGAGTGCACTCTCGCTGACCTGCAGCACAGGAAGCAGGCCAGTTTCCTGCTGAGCAACCATGTTGCTGTCAACTAAAGATGCAATGTTGGCAACCTGCACAGGCATTAAGACAGCCTCCTGTGTGGGCATGATGTCTGAGCCCTGCAGGTGAATCACTGCCTCGTCATGGACAGCACTCAATGAGTCCACCAGCATGGCTGGGTCAATCTTCTCCTGGAAGAAAGCATCCTGACTGACAGGCTCAAAGATGAATTGTTGCTCTAGATCACTATCTTGCTCTTTCACATATAATATAATCTCCCCTTCCTGGCCGAATACCTGGTGGGAGTTCTGGCAGGCAGCCTCGACCACGCTCCTCAAGTTCTCTGCATTAATCTCAGAGAGGCTCAGTGAGGGAGGCAGACAGATGGTGATGCTGTTGGAGGCTGCTGGATTCATGGTCACAGCTGCTCTCTTTAATAGTTCTGTCTACAGTCTCCACCTGCAATCACCAAGCATTGCACATTTGTTATTTTCAAATTTACAATCCCAACTGATATATTCATCAATGAAATACCATTTTTATAAAATCCCAAGCGTGAAGATAATTTTGGCAGTCTCTTCATGTGTGGTTATTTTGAATCTATCTTTCTTACAGCTCATACACTGAAATGTTTTCAACTCACAGGAAGGCTAATGCCAGAGATTGATCCTGGAGAGTAAAACGCTGATAATTTATATTTGATGTTGCCCCAGAAATATTGTTATCATTCTGGGTGCGCACATTATTTCAGGTGTTATTTCCAGAACTTGTTCTGTTAAAACAAATGTTATTTTGAGTCTGCATGAGAGATGACATCAGACATAGAGCATGTGAGTACAGGAAGGCAGGAAATGTAACCAAAAAAAAATGTGAGACGAAGTCCTTCCAGGCTGGACAGGAGAAAATCAGAATACGAGAGAGAGGTGAAATGTTTTTATTAGAATAGGCATTTTTTGTGTAAGTCTAGATACTATACATATATGCTTGTTTCTTTATTACAGTTGACACATTGGGAAGGGATTAGTGGACATCCATTCTTTGTAGATAGTCTGAGTGCAATGACCTGCTTGAAGCAGTGAGGACGACAAACTGGAAAAGGATAGTCAGGGTCTAGAATTAGAAACTGCCGGAGGTGTATTTTTAGGAAATATAAGTTGTTTTTGTGACTGCTGACACAATGGCAGGAGACAATGTTTCAATGTACTGCAGCGTCCCCAGTAAGGGTTTACTGACATACTTCTATCTTTACCCTGTAACCTGTCCATGTTACAATTATTTATACTATTAATAATTATTTCAATAACAGACAGATAATTATCTCTGTTCTCCTGGTCTTAGTGCATCTGGAATAAGGGGCATTCAGTATGCCTTCTCTACACTTCTTTCATTTCATCTCATGTGTACAACCAAGAGTTTCTTGATGCAGGACTTCTGGGTGCTGTCAACCCATTCAAGCTCTGAAAGTCTGGTCAAGTTTGCAGATTCACAATCAACATGTAATTTGTTCAACTGCCCGTCTTCACTAAGATCCACCTAGTATCAGTCAGTCAGTACATGAGCCAAGTATCAGTCAGTACATGAGCCAAGTATCAGTCAGTACTCTGCTATCATCAATGATGAACTGCATTTCTAATGTTGGACTGTTTGTGTTAGCACTTCGAATGGCTACCGTATGCTTTAATGCGAGTGTATGCTAGATATGCTGAGATAGCAGTCTGTCAATCTTTCCACAAGGGACTGTGATAAACATTCTGGGTGTTTTTCGTTGGCACAGGAGCGGAGCAAAGATGGGGCTACCCGTTGCTATGAAGCTGAAACTAAGACTACCAGACTTACCACCAGTCAGTACATGAGCCTAGTATCAGTCAGTACATGAGCCAAGTATCAGTCTGTACATGAACCAAGTATCAGTCAGTACATGGGCCAAGTATCAGTCTGTACATGAACCAAGTATCAGTCAGTACATGGGCCAAGTATCAGTCTGTACATGGGCCAAGTATCAGTCAGTACACGAGCCAAGTATCAGTCAGTACACGAGCCAAGTATCAGTCTGTACATGGGCCAAGTATCAGTCAGTACACGAGCCAAGTATCAGTCAGTACATGGGCCAAGTATCAGTCAGTACATGGGCCAAGTATCAGTCAGTACATGGGCCAAGTATCAGTCAGTCAGTACATGAGCCAAGTATCAGTCAGTACATGGGCCAAGTATCAGTCAGTACACGAGCCAAGTATCAGTCAGTACACAAGCCAAGTATCAGTCTGTACATGGGCCAAGTATCAGTCAGTACATGGGCCAAGTATCAGTCAGTCAGTACATGGGCCAAGTATCAGTCAGTACACGAGCCAAGTATCAGTCAGTACATGGGCCAAGTATCAGTCAGTACATGAGCCAAGGATCAGTCAGTACATGAGCCAAGTATCAGTCAGTACACGAGCCAAGTATCAGTCAGTACATGGGCCAAGTATCAGTCAGTACACGAGCCAAGTATCAGTCAGTACATGAGCCAAGTATCAGTCAGTACATGAGCCAAGTATCAGTCAGTCAGTACATGAGCCAAGTATCAGTCTGTACATGAGCCAAGTATCAGTCATTCAGTACATGAGCCAAGTATCAGTCAGTCAGTACATAAGCCAAGTATCAGTCAGTCAGTACATGAGCCAAGTAGCAGTCAGTCAGTACACCAGGCAAGTTTATTGTTTGCTCACTGTTTATTCAACAGACCAACATCATGGCACACGGGTGAAACCTATAAGTGCTCCGTTCTACTTCTAACTCAAGCCTGAGTCTGAAGATTCTTAGCGCAGTGCACAAACTCTGTTGTACCGGCGAGGGTCCTGAAATACTGTGGGTAGATTTGTAACTCCAAATTTTTGTTAGGCCAGAGCCATCAGGCTACTCTTTCCAATTTCCAACTGCCAAGGTTTTTTTTACGTGCGCAACAATATACACGGGCATTCAACCTTATTATCCGGAGACCCTGGTACATTACTTGAGGGTCCACGTGAACAAATCCCAGCCTTCAATGGGGCTTGAACCCGGGACCACTAGCACTCAAGGCGGAGCCCATATCTCGAGATTACTCTGCCCCCTCCCCCCCCCCCCCTGAGTCGAGTATCAGCCAGTACATCAGTCAAGTATTGGCTGGGTCTGTTGGTCTTGTCTATTGCCAGAAGTGCACCTGTCCACAAATTAGACTTTTGCAAAACCAGAAATATGTATCAGGGCAACAAAAGATACAGTTCATCAATCAGGCTTCTATGGTAAACAAAGCAACAGGATTATGAAGAACACATCTAAATGCAAGTAATAGAGATTTTAATTGTATGTCAATGGGTCAGCTGGATCTGACTTTGGGTTATGTGTATTACCATATCACCCCTGAGAATTACGATTCCTAGAAGTCTGTAAGGAAGGTGGAAACTATCTTTTCATCCATAGCAGTTAGGGCACATAAAACAAAGGTGCAAAAATGTGTCCTCGGCAGTCTATATTGCAAGCATATAATTATGTCCATAGCAGTGAAATGGTTAACAGGGCATTAGTGACTAAAAGACTGTTTTAGACATAAATCAACACTGTCAATGACCAACGTCTACCTCTCCATTAACACATGTGTCCTCTGGCTCACTAACTGACCTTGCCCCACGTTGCCAAGTAAACTGGTTGTTTCTTGGTGGAAATCCCTGATATTTGGTGCCTATTTGATGGTAAATGTTCCTGTGTGTGCTGAACTACATTTGCTATTCAAGTGTGCCAGAGGTAAGAGATGTGATCGCCTATGACAGTCATAAAGACACTGGCTGATGGTGACAGAGACCAGTGCAAAAGGTCCACACTACTTAGATATTTTAAGAACTGTTTCTAGAGAATCACAGGTAACTGGCTCCACAGGCATTGTGAGACCCAAGTATGACCTACCTCTAAAGGTAAACCTGTGTCCAAGTCCCCACCTCTCTGTCAGTGAGATGGTAGGGACGTGTGTGACTTTTATTACCTTTATTTATAATTATGTGTGCTATTTTATTCAGTTGGAGAATTGGACTGTTCTGTGGAATTTGGTGTATTATTTGGAATGCTGCAAATGAGTGGAGTTATTGGAGACAAGCCAGTGACATTCCGACACTTTATCTGACTACTGTGTTATTTGACTGATTATTTTTCGCAGTGTGTGTCAGTGCCAATGGCTGTTATATTTAACCTTACGGGTTATATATACCTTGCTTTTGATAGCAGTACTCTTTATTTGCTTCCCCCCCCCCCTATGTTAGCCTGGCAGTTATAGGATATATGCTAAAGGTGTTGTGGACTCAAGCCAAGTCGAGGCTAGGTGTCACCTTGGGAGTTTGCCAGTGTGTAAAATTTAGTCAGGTCAGGACTTGTCAGATATGACTGAGCCACTGTATAACAGTAGCCTGTACCACCTATCTTCTGTTACGCCAAATGTTAAGTGGCGTATACTAACACAATTTTTCATATTGTACCAACAGCTTCAGGCAGAGGAGCGCATTAGGGAGGATACTAGCCTTATCCAAGGAAGAGGAAATGCAACCTGAAAACTTATTGTTGTTAACGCAGGGCAGACCAGGGCCTTCGCCTTGGCTGGCAGCTGGTCTAGGAGGGACGCTCCGACAGACGGACAGATAGAGCAATGCTCTTCTGATCCGGCAGCCTCTGCAGCCTGCCTTGTTCCAAACGAAGCAGTTTTACCTTTCCTTTGGAGTAAACAAGGCAGTTCAAGAGAAGGATCATTATGCATGGGCAACATATGGTCTCTACAATACTGCCCAGGCTTTGTGCTATAGAGAGGAGGTACTTCATCCCTGGCATTAATCGGCCTCTGAAACAAGTCGATTGAGAACCGATCTACCACTGAATTATATTTTCCTTACAGCAGTTGCAGGAAAAATGCTGCGAACAAAATCAACCACTGTAAGTTGCTTTTATCGATCTTACCAAGGCATTTGATTTGGTTAGTCGAAAAGGTCTGCTGAAAGCGGTGAAGAAGATTGGGTGTCCACCTACTCTACTAAGCAATACTGAGTCATTCCACACAGGTATGAAAGGTACAATCAACTTTGATGGTGTAACATCAGAGGAATTTGTAATCAAAAATGAGTGAAGCAGGGGTGTGTACTTGCTCCTACTCTCTTTGGAATATACTTTTCACTTCTTTTGATACATGCCTTTTGAGATCAGGAGGGTGGTATATCCATTCATTCATTCTCGATCTGACAGCAGCCTTTACAAAGCTCGCAGGCTGAAGGCCAAAACCAGGATAAGAAAAGTGCTTATCAGAGAGCTGCTGTTTCCAGATGATGCCACAATAACCAACCGCTCAGAGGAGCTGCTGCAATGTTTACTATCTGCCTTTACTAATACATGCTGTGAATTTGGACTAACAGTCAGCAATAAG